ACGTCCTAATCTCCGACCGGTTGGACAAAAACCCTCGTTTTCGACCATCCGCTAATTTTATTTCTCGTCCGTTTCCACACGGAAAATGAATTTTTTTCTTTCGGCGCGCTCGTTTCAGGATCTTAAACTGCACTCTGCAATTGCGCGCCGCCTATTAGCCCCTTCGAGATTAGGGCCCCTTTTTTAAGACCAAGCTGAGACTGGATATCATCAGTTTCATCGGTACTGTTCATTTCTTTTAATCTTCACGATCTTGGATATGGGTTAGTCTTCCTTAACATAAAAACTAGGGAGTAGTTAGATAGAGATTTTGAAATTTGCCTATAGAAACTCCAAGAGTGCATCTATTGGAACTTTAATTGACAATTCAGATCGCGCGTTGCTAAAGCAATTTCTTGAATAATTTCTCAGAGAAATGTCTGTTATCTTTTTAATAATTGCAGAAAGAAGGAATCAGGGTGATTTTGACCTGTCTGGTAGTTTCAGTGTTAAACAAAAATTACAGGGTTACAAGTTTTAATTTTTGTTGGTAACTACTAATATTACTACTGGTACGACTACTACTACTACTACTACTACTACTATTAGTCTTCTTGGCTAGGTAGTCTATTATGCGCCTGGTGTTCACTCGTCTCGAATGGGTGAACCGTGACCGGCGGACAGTCTCCGCAAACGACGGACACAGTGTACGCTCGGACGAAATTCGGAATTTCGATCGTGTCTCCGGGCAAGGTTTCCGATTCGACTTCTTTGTCACTTTTATTGTTTGTTCGGCGAGGTTACTTTTTTACGGTTATCGGGTGCGTCGGGTGAGGATCCGTATACTTAATTTAGGAAATCTTTTCAGGGAATCCCGATTGTTCTTCTTGTTGTCGAGTAATACGCGGGGAACGCGATATTTTCGGGGACGCTCGTGTCCTATTTCCCGATTGCTGGCTCGCGAATCTTCACGTAAAACGCGGACGCGTTCGTTGCCGATTTTTTATTGTCCGTAGTTTTTTCGGAATTTTCCAGCGTTCTCAGCTGGAACGTCGCGTAGTAAAATTCCAGATTGTTCCCAACTAAACATCGAGGTCGGCGAAATATTGGGAACGTAGCCGGCGCTTAACCAAAACACATCAGCCGATTATTAGGAACGTCTGAATTATCCATCAACTGATTTCATGAAAATTCCCCGGGAATCCCGTCGCGATAATATCCGAGAGCGGCGGCCGGGCCCGAACAAAACTCATATTCGCAGAAAGGCAGTGTTTTTAACGAGTAAAATACGCGATCGATCGGCGCACACGGATAATCAGATTATCCTGACATCAATGTGTAATATTCGAACGTATGGGAGTAATGAACGCTAAACGAGAGGTGAAGGGAGAAAGATATGTGAACAGGTGGGAAACGAATTCTCGATCAACTTTGAGCGTTCCATTAAACGGTATCTATCGACGTTATTAACCATCAATATTTGCGAATAGTTGATGTGAAATACGAGCGCCTCCCCGTCGAATGCAACGCGAGGCGATCATTTCCTTTGGCTCGTCGAAAATTTCAATGTTACCCGGCTCGATATGTTGCTTGAAAAAAACAACGTTTATTCGTGGGATCTCGATATCAAGAAATTCGTCGAGAGAAAATTATCTAACAATTAACACCGTGTCCTTAACATAAATTAACGTTCATACACCTCGCACCGAAGGAATAACACAAACATTTCATACCAAACTTTTTGTTCCTCCTGAATATTGCACTGTAGAAAAAAATAAGACCATCCTCTAATAATTTCGTTTGAAATTACCTACACTCTTTCTCAAAATTACCCAATAAACTCCGTCGTTATACACTTTCGTTTTATTTCAATGGCGTTTCAGAAAATCTTTTTTCGAGCCACAGGGAAGCGTAAATTAGAAACCGGAATATTTGAAATCGCTTCCTACAGAATATCCATCTATCATTCACCGGAAACGTCGACGAAATTATTATCGAGCGTCAGATTGAAATGTACCGCGTTAGAAAATTATATACCCAGTAGGAAATGTTCCATTGATCAGTAGCCAGGTTCTCGGAGAATCGTCGGTGATTCTGCATCGTGTTCGAAACGATCGTCTTCGCAGATAGCGGCCATCACCGCGCCTAAACGTTCGCAATCCAGTCCAGATACCAAGGATACCGTCGGTATTCGTCGAGTACGCGGATGCGGCGCCGTGTTCCTGTATCCGATCGACCGTTTCTTCCTTCAAGAAAGTGAAAGGATGCCGAGACCCGATTCGGCGTGCCTTCTCGTGAAAGCAAAGCACGGACCGGGAGGTGGGGAGCTCCGAGTGTCAGCGTTTCGGTTGCATCCGAAGACACTCGGGCATTCACTGTCATTCACCGTCGCTTGTGATTTTATCTGAGACCTGTCCGTTAACGCGTTTGTTGTTACGAGAATTTGGATCGTTTTATGTAATGCTATTTACTCTTTCCCTAGCGAAGAAGAAGGCAATTAGAAATAATTATAGATATTTTGATGCTGTATTTATTACGTTGGATTATTCTCTCGTTACTTGGCATTGTTAAATATTTTTCGTATCGATTTTCTTATTGTTATAATTTGATGTTGCAGTTATTATACTACATTACTAATTATTCGCGTTATTTAGTAGTTATGACACTGGAATTACCGAACATTTAATACAATTAATATGTAATCGTTGTAAACGTGTGGTTATAGATTATTTGAAGTTTCTTTAGATATTCATTATAGTATTCAAGTGAAACTATTTATTTTCGAGATTATTTTCAATGTTGAGTGCTCGTAAGATATCGATAATTGCGAAACAGAATAATCGAAGCCAGTCATTCTAACTGGTAGTTCTAGTGTTAATGATTTGATGTTACAGTTGTTGTTTTATTATCGGATTCTTTCTATCATTGAATATTTTTATTTGACATTGATATTTTTATTGCAATTGTTTTCAAGTAATTCGATAGCTCAAGTCGTGAGTGACCTTAATATCGGTCAACGAGTTAACACATTTTTGCTACCAGGAGAAGGTCTTATTTGTAGGAGCGTGTTAAGCTAGTCGACATGAACACTAAAACAGATGCTACATGCTTTTTATATGAAGCCTGTCGATTTAGGCGCTAAGGAGTCACTTGACGTTGGATTCAATAAAAATGTTACGAAGCAACCGATCAAATGTACTTTTGATACGCAGAACAAAAACTGGTTGACACGTTTCGAATTAAAGAGACTTCTTTTACTCCTCGAAGATTTTTTTTACTCAATAAGCGAGAATGACGAGCACATTGGACGGTTGTATACTTCTTCATCTTTAATTCACTTCTAGTTTCCTTATTTATGTATCGAGGAGTTCCAGCAGTAAATTCTATCACGAAATCAGCAGGTATGTTAAGTGAATAATATATGCAATTAGGGATTTTATTGAATTTTTATTGCTTTTCGTTTCACCGTGTTTTATATTCACGCATTAAACATGTTAATCACATTTTTAAGTCTCCTATTTATATATCATCACTGCCACTTCCTTTATTGGTAAAACCACGGAACTATTCAGTGAATATCTAAGAATTTTAAGAAGAATTATGTTTCCGCCAAAGAAACTTGAAAATTTCGAGCTATTTAAATTCTACTACCATCCTCTCTCTTTAGTTTGCATTCTAAGTTTACTAATAATCATACATTCCATTTCGATGACTTCCAATACGAATTTCTAACTTTTAATAATTAACCAGTAACAACAGTTTAGATAAGAAACCACAGTAGAACTTTGATTACAGAAACTCAGTGAAACCAAGACGATTCGAATAATTAAATAATTTGGATAATGGAACTGTACATAGTAGAACCTTAGCTATCCCAACTAATTAGGACCAAAACGGTTCGAATAATCAGATAGCCCAGATAATCCAACAATAAAATCATTAATCTAATCTACCAGAAGCAAATGAAAATCGATACATCACTGATTCGGCTTGTCGAGAGCTGACACGACCATAGTTCCGATAATCCAGCGTCCACTGTATAAAAATTCCGACTCATTCACACGCTGCTGGTCAAAAGTTTCGAACCAGTACATCAGTTAAAAGAACCTACAATTTTTTTAATTAATTTCCACCTAACGATACACATTATTCAAATATAAAAATTGAAAAAAATAATAAATTTTAATCTTTTTTCAAGAGTTCTGAATTATTTAATTACTTACATGCTCTTTTCAGAACTTGCATATTCTAATTCTTAAGCAAAAGAAAGCAAAACAGTTGCATCACAAACACAGCTATTGTTAATATTTAAAATATGCGTTAAAAAAAACTAACTGTGATTTCCCGATGTTGAAAGTTAATTTAAGGAAAGTACTATTACCTCTAAAAATTCTTTAAAAAATTGTACTGCAAATAGTAGTTATTTTATCTCTAGAGGTTTATTTTTTAATCAAGATAAATCTTTTTCTGTGGTAAAAGTAATAACGAACTAATTGAACACTCGATCAATGTATTTTATACATACTTAACACATTAAATGTTTCCCCCAATATTATATTATTGTCTTAAATTCATTATACTGTAATTTTAAGATATCTATAATCTTCTAATAATGTACTCAGCTATATCTAATTTGATGAGTGGACCTTTTAGATAACAGTAGTAAATTACGTACTTATCAAATATATACGATAGTTTCCTTTTAGTGTATGGAATTCTTACTTATTCTGTTTAATATGTATATATACATCTTTTACACACGTATACGAATATATTATCTCATATATTGTTAAGCACACTTTATTACTATTGTACGAATGTAACGTCTGGAACAAATTATTCGGGTTGGCTAATGTAGAGGCAATGTGTGCGTTCCGTAATTTATGATGAAGATTAACAGCCGGACAACGCATAGTTACCACAAATAAATCAAGATTAATATTTATTCAGCCATATCGTTGATAAGAAATATATACTTGTCCAGATAGTGACTACATTTCGTAGTCATTTCGCAGTATTACATTTCTTAAAATACAACTGGACTTAAGAGACGGACATATGTTTTGGGATATCAAGAATTGATTTGCATTTCCTTATCATAATAACGTGACATAATACGGTACGTAATATCAATAATAAAATTCACATCGAATAATAAATCATTTATAACATTAATAGACATTTATAACTTATACACAATGAGTTAAAAGAGTATTCATAAAGCATGATACTCGTTATTAGATAGAATATATGTATGAATCTGGTTTCTGAAATTTCGATATTAAAAGCGATTTTAATTTACTGTTCTTTTAATCAATATTAAACCATATTAAACAATTGCCGTTGAAACCAATTATTGACTTGAAATAAGATTTGTTTTCTAAAGGCAGCCATGTTTACAACTAAATCTAAAATGTAAATACTTTCAGGTTCCATAGCGAAATAATTTCAACAACATGAAAGACAAAATCCTCGGAATTTCGGAGGCTGGTCTGGTTGGGAAGCGTTTTCAGCCGGCTAAAAGGTCACCTCAGTATATCGCCAGTTTGTCAGCAACTTTGGGAGCCTTAGCAGCGGGAATGGTCTTAGCATGGACTTCTTCGGCTGGTACTGATGGAAAGAATTTACAATACCTACACGGCTTTGAAATTTCTGTAGATCAGTTTTCATGGCTTAGCTCGCTAACCATGCTCGGTGCTGGAGCAATGTGTCTACCAATTGGATTTATTATTGATTTAATAGGAAGAAAGAGTGCAATGTTGTTGATGGTGGTTCCCTTCACCGTAGGTTGGCTACTTATAATTTTCGCCAAATCTGTACTTATGTTTTATCTTGGAAGATTCATCACTGGTGCCGCATCCGGTGCATTCTGCATAGCTGCACCAATATACACGGCAGAAATATCTGAAAGTGCAATTCGTGGAAGTGTTGGAACTTACTTTCAATTGCTTCTTTCGGTCGGTATCTCATTATCGTATACACTTGGATACTTTGTAAACATATTTACATTGTCTGTTATATCTGCCATCGTACCATTAATCTTTTTCACGGTTTTCATGTTCATGCCTGAATCACCGATATATTATTTGCAAAAAAACAACGTGAATGGTGCTAGAAAAAGTTACATTAAATTATATGGTGCTCAATACGATATTGAAGGAGAATTAGAAAGACAAAGGAATATTATAGAAGAAACACGAAGGAATAAAGTTTTCTTTTCGACCATGATCAAATCTAAAATAACTTTAAAGGGTTTCGTAATTGCTTATGGTCTGATGTTTTTTCAACAGTTCAGTGGCGTGAATACTATCGTGTTTTATGCTACTCAAATCTTTGCTGCAGGTGACATTAGTATTCCAGCTGGCGCCTGTACTATTATTCTCGCTGTAATTCAAATACTAATGTGTTTAATAAGTAGTTTAGTTGTAGATCGCGTGGGTAGAAGAGCATTACTATTATCATCAATAATATTTTTGTGCTTAACAACTTGTGCTCTTGGATTTTACTATCATTATTATTCGGGTATTCAAGTAGATGCTATTCCAGTTGCGTGGCTGCCTTTAGTATGTGTATGTTTATTTAGTATTATGTTTTCTCTGGGTTTCGGTCCTGTTCCTTGGTTGATGTTAGGTGAAATTTTTGCACCAAACGTGAAAGGTGCAGCTGCGAGTAGCGCTGGCTTTTTAAGTTGGGCATTGGCCTTCCTTGTAACTAAATTGTATGGTCTAATAAATATCGGTGTTTCATTTTGGATGTTTTCTGGAATATCTGCAATTGGAATCATCTTTGTATACGTAATAGTTCCTGAGACCAAAGGTAAACGTTTGGAAGATGTTCTGAAAGATTTATAATTTCTGGACATTGACAATTATCTGTTAAAAATATTTTCCTATAAGACCAATTCGTAAATATACAACTATTTCGTAATATGTATAGCTAACTTGTATTTAATTGCATAGAAGATCCCTCGCACAAAATATAATATATTATAAATTATAATAAACATTGTATGTAAGAATTATAACAATTATATACTATAATTATATGGATATAATTTATCCATATAATTCTAATAAATAGAAATAAAATGACTTTCGACACTAGTACATTCGAATTATAATTAACTTATATTTTCTATAATAACCATTCATTTAGACTTTCATTACTTTGTTTTTCATTACTTTCATTACTGAACTTTCCTATAAAAATAATTCTTATCAATGATACAGCTTCGCAAATAACCAAAACGACTATACTCCAATACTCTGTTATTCGTTTATTTATTTAACATTTAAATCGATATCCCAGAGTCCCACTGGCATGCCTAAAATTCTCGTATCATCGGTAACATGGAGCGCGACAACGGAATACCACATGGACACATCAATTATAATTGTTTGTGCGAGATAATTGAACTAGCCATCTCCCCCGGAATTAACCTAAATAATTTCTAACCTGCCTCATCGAGCATGCAAACGGCCCGAAAGTTTTGAGCCGGAGTGTACGCCGGACGGGACAAAAAATCCGTAACAAGATCGTTATCGCGGAAGTTCCGAGCGCGGATCGTTTTCTGAACCGCGGATGGGCGAAAGCCGTGCCCCGCGCGATGATATTACTTTCCAACGAATCGGGACAATGGAGCTAATTTATTCGCACGCACACGCGGGATAGGAGCACACGCCGGGGGAGGGCGACGCGTTGTGCACGTGCAGCTGCAACTAAATAGCCCCTGTTCCCGTCGCAAATAAGATCTTCCCGTATAAAGCATATTCAAACGAGGAAGACATAATTCGAGCAGCCTCGCCGGGGGCGACGAACGAGACATTCACCTAACGAATGCCAGCTCTTACTTTTCTATAGGCCTTCCTTCCTTCTCCCCGGCCTAATCTGAAAGCTCGAGCAATCACCTGAGGCGAGTAAACACGCGGAATCGAAACGGTGCGTGAACGCTAACCTCGTTTCGCGATCGTGGTCAAGCTTTATAACGAACCGACTGGTTTTTCGCCTGGATGTTCGATGAATCTTTTCTTTTAAGGTTACTGTATAGGCAGATGCTTTGGGGGATTATTAACAGTAAAATTATCGGACGGGTAATTGACTCATTTTAGAATGTTTATTGTGCAAGTACTTTAATCGTGAAGGCGTTTGTATGAAAGATTTTCAAATACATTGTGTATATGTACAGATACAAGACTAGGAAATCCATCGAATCTTAAAAAATGTATTGTTCTAATTTTTATAAAATATTGAAAATAAATCACTCTAATTTTCTCGGTATTGTTAGTGTTAAAGAAGCTGTTTCAGTAATGTCTAAATTGAAATCTTGATAAATGCACGCTTATAGCTTCTATGGCGAAATCTAGAAAAATGTAAGTGCTCGGTAATTCTGGTGTTTAAATATGTAGAACTCGATCGTATATATTTCAGGTTGCTACCTGAGAGTTTCAATTTAACCAAGACATTGAATAATCTAAGTAGAGTATTATTGTACTAGAAAATGCTTGATTTCTTAAAAATATTCACAGTTTGTAGAAGATTCTATAGTTCCCCTCGAATGGTTGAGTGAAATAGAAGAATCCATTAGCTGTACATAAATAACGACTCAACGTATATTGCATGTAATTCGAGAGCGCTACAGAAAAATTAATGCAAGGTTCTTAGCGCGAAATACTATTCAAAGTGCTTAAAGTCGAATTGGACCGCTTAATTCCCGACCGGTGTAAGCTCAATTCATTAATTCCTGAGAACGAGAGGTTTCTCGGTTCGTGTTATTATAATAAATTCACACTAAATAACACCGTAACTCAGGAATAATTTCCCGCCGTTTAATTATTTACTAAAAGATTTACCGCAATTCATTTTGAACATTTTCCACGAAAACTATAATCCTCGGCACAAACCAACTAACCAAGGGTATTACGAAAATTTCTCCACAATTTCTACCGTGAAATAAAACACCATTTTCCATTCGCGTTCCAATGCCACAAAGTTTCCACGAGAACATTCGTTCGTGCTAACTTCCAGCAAAAAACAAACACATCATTGTACACCATCTTTCACCCCATTTCCCTATTAAATATTTAATATCATATTCCAACTAGCATTAAAAGGTATCGCACAAAGATAAGAAACGACGTCACTTATAGGATGATATAATATAAAAGCCAGTAGCCGAATACTCTGCAGATCCCGCGGCGAAATGATATTCAAGGTACTCGAATGGCGACACCGTCGAATATTATTTTTTTACGGTTGCCGCGCAGCAAAAAATCGGATCAATCATCGTCAGGTGGTCCGGGGCGCAATCTGGCTGGAGCCGAGATTGCTGGAAATCCCGGGGAAAACCTTAATAAGAAGAGGAGCCGTAAGTATTGTATGGAAAGGGGATCCCCGAAAAGCAAACCGTGGGATCGCGCGGAAGTATGAAAGCTCGGCCTGTCCCGTCCCGGCCAAACCGGCTGGCCGCCGTCTTGTATCGCGTCGAAGTAATTCCGCGATGAATAGGAAATACCGGTGTTCCGGGCTTCCTTCGCGCGCACGGCGGCAATGGAAACGTCTCGATACGATTTCTCGGTTAGCGGTGCGGACCGGAACACCGTCCGGCCGGTACTCTATAACTTAACGCGGGGTTTCCCCGCGGCGGAAAGAAACCTTAATAGACTCCGCCCGCGTGTGCCGGTGAAATTGGGAAAATCGTTGCACTTTCGTCGACGCTGCAACTGAAACGAACATCGACGACGCTATTCCTGCTCGATATCGGGCGGCCGTTTTGTTATGTAAACTGTGAAAGACGTTCGATCGGCGCCATTACGATTGGCAATAAGAAGTTGGTTCCTATCGGCGTTCAGTTTTCATTATTTTTCCGAACGGCTCATTGTCGTTCGTTTTATATAAGGATGAACGGTCGATTTGATGAGAGGATTGTGGGTATTTATTTATTGAGGTTTTTACTAGATACAGTCAATTGTTTTTTGAAGGAATGATAAGGATGTCTTGAGACACACTTATAATCATTTGAGCGCGAGTCTTTGAGAAAGCTCGAAAAATGGCGAGCGGTTCCTGCGTTTCAATTCGGAAACTGAATTATGTGTTCCTGGTTTTGCACGAAAGAATGTAAATACGTTTCGTTTTTTCATTTCCAAGCTGGCAATGACAGAAATGGAAATAAATAATTAGAAGGAAGATGGATAAATAAGTTTAATTTGATTCTGCGAACTGATAGGCTGACACTTTCAGGCAGTGTAAGCTGTTTTGTTTTAATAGTTCATGTATTGTTGTATTGTTGTATTGTTGTATTGTATAAAATGTAATATTGAATATCAGATTGTGTAATTTTGCTGTAACAAGTTAAGTGACGATTGAGATTGCTTGTAGAGTGCAACGGGTTAAAATTCATACTTCGATGTATATGTATGTGATCTTTTGGGAACACTGAGCATCCTTTAGTTTTTGGTTTATTTAATTTGCATATATTTCGTACATACAAAAAAGACGTGCCGATGGATCAACTTCCACGTAGTCATCGAATTATATTAACACCCTATAATTTGTTCCAGGAGTGTGCCAATAAGAATGCAACGCGAAGTGCCAGTCAACTACTGATTTCATTTCGTTCAAAAAACTGAAGTATTCTATATTAAAACCGCTTACGAAGCACATTCCTTGAGATCTACTAACCGAACGCGAACAAATTCTTCATTCGAATAAGAAGCATCAAACGAAGTAAACACAAACACGAACTAACCATTTCTCAGTTAGTAAACTCAATAATTCCAATCGTAAAAGTGAACTGCATCAACTGATTAATCCTACTACAGTTCTTCACTTCCCACGAATTAAAAATACTATTTAAAAAAAAGGATCACACGGTTTAATAACAATTTCCTTATATTATTGCCAAACATAAAACTCGCCTCAACAAAGCGATAACTACACGAAATAGAAAACAGAAAATAACAACGAAATGACGCTAGGAAAATGCAGACAAGATTGAGCCAAAACAGTCAACCGGAGGTAACACTAAAACAACCCAACAGTTCAATTGTCCTTGCAAAATTCCTCTATAGGAACCTCAAGAACACACCTATCGAGACTTTAATTGATTTATAATTTAGTTTGCACAAAAATCAACTTCTTTAACAATTTCCCAGAGAAACATCCGTCATCTTTCTAATAATTTCAAAATGAGGAAACACGCAGTGCCTCATTTCGACCCACCTGGTAGTTTCAGTGTCAACTCTTTGCTCGACAATATTTTTCATTACAGACACTCATTACTTTCTGACGAAATATTAACAATATTATTTGCAACTTACATACAGGAACATCTTGCATAAATTATGGGACAGAATTGTTTTATTTCTATTTTGTGTATTAATACCCCATTCAATATTTTATCCTGAATATTTCATTTTATAAATTATCTGCGTTTAATCAAACGGCAACTGAGAGTCGCCTCTCGAATGCAAAGGTTAACTCAGAAGTTCAGCCAACCAACCTACGTACCTTTGGTAAAGCCTGTACAGCCGAAACGAGAATAAAATTCGGCCACTTTCACCCTTAAATTCCAATTATACGGCCAGTTTTCAAGGCCATAATGTCGTCAGTGGCCGAGCGCAGGCACATCGGCGACCGAATTCCACAGCTTTCTATCCACGATACCGTTCCGCGCGGATACGGTGTTCAGCCGGAACTCTCACGACGTCCGGATGCTCCTCGTGTGCATCTTCGGGACGTTCTCGTCGAACAATGGAACGGGACATCGTTTTCGAATGGAGGAAGAGAGAGGAAGACTGTATTTTCGCAGGACCGACTGAATAGTGCCAGAAGTGACGGCAATCGAATTGTTCGC